GTTGGACAGTGTCATCGAAGCGACCAACGTGAATCTGACCCAACTCTAGGAGGCAGTGGAAGACAGGAAGGCCTGGCGTGCTCTGGTCCATGGGATCACAAAGAGCCGGACATGACTAAACAACAACAACAACGTATGAAGGAAACAAATGGAACCTCCACTATTAGAGAAAGAGTCTTCTTACCTGCACTCAGCATCCCGGACACAGTGATGCAGTGACTCTCGGCTCCTGTGCAACTCAGCCTCTCTGTATTTTCACAGCGATCGGAAGCAAAAGTAAAACACGCAGGGCATCTCTGGGCATTCTGCGTGAGGTTCTTAGGTGGGACTGGAAAATGACAGAGAGGTTTTGAAAAAAAGAGGAACGAGAGAACAGGACCCACAGAGATTAATCCCCTTGCTTCTGCCACTTTAAATCCATCGGTCCATCTATCCATGTTGAGTCCAGGCCCACGCACAGAAGTGGCTGCCCAGCGTCAGTAGCATGTGGGCCAGACACAGCCAAGGGTCTCATGCCCCAATTGTGAAGGCACCCCCTTGTTCGGTTATAAGATGCTTAAGGTGCCCTAGTTTATCTCTGTGCAATTGTTCACAAACGCTCTGCCATCTTTTAATCAGTTTCTATTACTAGGATATTCTAGGGTGAAGCAACAGAACTAGAGTCTATTGAGACATTCCTTTCGATCCAGATGGGTGTGAATAGAGAAAATGGTCTCTTGTTCCCCTACAGCAGTGGTTCCCAACCTTGGGTAGCCTAGGTGGTCTTGGACTGCAACTCCCAGAAGCCTTCACCACCAGCTGTGCTGGCTGGGGTTTCTGGGATTTGCAGTCCAAGAACATCTGGGTTACCCAACGTTGGGAACCACTGCCCTACAGGTATTAATGAACTAAGGCTGCACTCCAGTACTCATTTCCCTGGAGATCTTGTTGAACTCAAGGCCAACATCTCAAGGGATATGTATCAGGGTTTTGCTGTTAGCAATCAAGGAACAATTGTGTTTCCAATAATTTCTGTTCTTATGAATGTAGTGGTTTGCTTTGCTCCTGATTTTATGCACACTTAATTTTATATATATAGTGCCCCATCAGCTGAACTGTTGCAAACCCTGTTCAGGCATTTGCCCAGTTACATGAATCTGTTTTTTAAAAAGAAGTGCTAATTCATTGCCCATCTGGAGTTTGCCAAAATCTGCATTATTACTTGCATAAACTAGTTTCAAGCGGGGTGAAATTATCTTGGCCATTAATTAGCAGGAGGTACTGTGACACTAGAATGACAGGCGACCAGTCAAGGTTACCAACGGTCCTTAGGCTTAAGAAAACCCAGCAAGGTGAACAGGAAATGCATTTCAAAAATGTGGGTGAGGGGTTCTTGTACTGCTGGGAGGGGCAGAAATTAGAGTTTTGTGGCACCTTATGAATGAACCAGCCTTCTCTGATGTAAGCTGAAAGAACTGGGCACATTTAGCCTTGATGACAGGCGACCAGTCAAGGTTACCAACGGTCCTTAGGCTTAAGAAAACCCAGCAAGGTGAACAGGAAATGCATTTCAAAAATGTGGGTGAGGGGTTCTTGTACTGCTGGGAGGGGCAGAAATTAGAGTTTTGTGGCACCTTATGAATGAACCAGCCTTCTCTGATGTAAGCTGAAAGAACTGGGCACATTTAGCCTTGAGAAAAGAAGCTCAGAAATGTGGGTTAGGGGTTCTTGTACTGCTGGGGGGGGGGAGAAATCAGAGTTTTGTGGCACCTTATGAACGAACCATTCTTCTCTGAAACAAGCTGAAAGAACTGGGCATGTTTAGCCTTGAGAAAAGAAGACTGAGGAGAGATAGGATAGCACTTTTCAAATACTTGAAAGAAATACTACAGAAGAAGTGCAGGATCTGTTCTCAGTCATTCTAGAGTGCAGGACATTGAATCATGGGTACAAGCTGCAGGAGGCCAGATTTAGGCTGAATGCCAGAAAAAAACTTCTTAACTGTTAGAGCAGGAATCATGGGTACAAGCTACAGGAAGCCAGATTTAGGCTGAACACCAGGAAAAACTTCTTAACTGTTAGAGCAGCACAACAATGGAACCAATGATCTCAGAAGGTGGCGAATATCCAACGCTGGAGGTATTCGAGAGAAAATTGGACCACCATCTGTCTGATCTGCTTTGATTTGGATTCCTGCCTTGAGAGGAGGTTGGGCTCAATGGCCTTACAGGCCCCCTTCCAATTGCATTATTCTATGCCGCTTCTATAATTCTGTGCCGCTGTTCACAAAGCTTGTGCCAAATAAAACTCGGTGATCTTCAAGATGCCACAAAACGCTTTGATATTTTGGCAAAGGACTCTCCCGATGTCAGCTTAGACCTGACATCCCGGATGCATTTGACAAGTGTGCCAATCAATCTGACTGTGGATCCAAACATCTCTTTTGCAACCCTCCCTTTTTTAAATTTAAGCATGCATAATAATTGAATTGCTTTTAAAACTTTGTTTAAAGAGAGAGAGAGAGAGTAGAAAAAGAGCTGCAATGTTTCAAGGGCTACAGGGTCCTCCTTATTTAAAGAAAGGAACCTTTTTTTTTAAAAAAAAAAGCAGAAATATTTTAAAGGGTGGGATGTAGGTTTATGGTGTAAATAATTAGAGATCTTTTTTTTTTTAAAAAAAGCAGAAATATTTTAAAGGGTGGCTTGTGTAGGTTTATGGTGTAAATAATTAGAGATTCCGGCCATGAGTTCAGAAGCCTATTCCTCACCTTGACTGAGCCTGGCTTCAGCACCTACCCCTGATGGAAGCAGTGTTGCAGTTGTCTTGATTGCAACATGCAGTGTTGCTCCTCCAAAACAGTCCTTTTTCTGCCGTAATTGACATGACCTTTTCGCTGCAAGCTTGGGCATCGTATTGGCAGGCTTTGTACAGCCCTGATGTTTTGGTCCCTGCTATATTTCAAAATAAAAGAATAAAAGCGGTGGGGGGGGGGTTAGGAATCATGAACGAGTTAAGAAATATAGTGCAATTCATAGCAAAAAGCACAGCAAAGTGTGCTGCTTCTATAGTGCCGTAGCACTTAAAACACTCTTCTGGGCAGTTTGCAAATTAATGACGCAGGCTCCACATTGCCCTTCCATCGAGCTGGGTACAGTGGTGCCTTGCTTTACAATTGCCCCATTTTACGACAAAACCGCTTTACGACGACCTTTCTGCGATCGCAATTGCGATCGCAAAATAATGGTCTAAATGCATTTTTTTTTCCTTTGCGAAGATTGGTTCCCTGCTTTGGGAACTGATTCTACACAAAACAATGATTTTCAGCCAGCTGAACGGCGGTTTCAAAATGGCCACCAGGTAAACAAAATGGCTCCCCGCTGTGTTTAGGGACGGATTGCTCTGAAGACAGGCAACGAAAATGGCTGCCTTATGGAGGATCTTCGCTGGACAGTGAGTTTTGACCCCACTGGAATGCACTGAAGGGGTTTCAATGCGTTTCAAGATCTAACCCTTATTTGGGCAGGATTTAGTTGAACGACAAGCACACGGGTCAGGAAATGCATCCGAACACAAGTCTTATTCACCAACCCAGGTTGTTCTCGTGGGCCATTGTCAGGCAGACACCAGTTAGCTCTGGAACGGAGCAGGTCCCATCCGAATTGCACCCGGGCCCTTTGGTGCAGTCACAAACCAACGCATATGCTAAAAGAGGGTGAGTAGGGGAAGAGAGAGATTGAGGGAAACACATATGTTAGGTATTTCATTATTATTATTTTTTCAATTCATTAAAAGAATTCTACCATCAAATAATTCAAAGCACAGCAAAACATTTTCCCCTGCTCATCATATCAGCACAATTGTCCCGGCCTCACTAACCACACTGACTTTTTATATGGTCACTGTTTTCAAAGTATGGGTGAGTCTGATTTACCTTTTGTTTTTAAAATCAGAATTATCAAAAATTGTAGGGTTTGAAAATAAGAGGAAATGGAATAGAACAGTTTCTAAGAACAGGCTAGAAGTTTATTTCATTTTGGGTTTGTTTTTTTAAAATCAAAATTGACCCAAATCCCCCAAAATGAAGTGTAGCTAAAACCCACATCTTTGCTCGTAAGATCCATTGTATCTTATCCAGAATATTTCCTATTTTGGCAAGGGAGGTCATAATGACAGCCCACATAGCCAGCCTATTTTCCTGTCCACCTAACCCCAACAGACAGCTGGATCAGTCCACAGCTGTAAATGAGGAGCAGGTCTTTTGTAAAGCCAATGGCTCTTAATCGTCCATTCAAAACGAAACCATTCCCAGATACCTTGCATTGAAGTACAGTACTTCCTGTAACTTGAGATTACTGACTATACTCACTGTAATTAATGCTCTCTTAATTACTGCAATCAAAGCATACTCATTGTAATCATGCAGACTTTAGCCGTGACTTAACGAAGTCCCATAGATTTCAGAGGGCCTACTCTTAAGTATAACGAAAGCCAAGAATGTATGCCATCATGCCCTAAACAAAGGTCTCTACTGCTGCAAACTGACATATTCTACTGGACTCACTTGTAACCACCAGCGCAGCAAAAAGGTGGAAAAAAACAAGTTTCATGACTGCAGGACTTCGGTTTGAAAGACAGGTAAGATGCTCCAACCAGGTGATTTCTATGGCTGCAGGCCTAAAATGAGAAAAGATGAATTAAATCAGCAGCATAAAACCGAGATGCCAATGGACAGCAACAGGATTCAAGAGCCAGGGAACAAGATTAACCACTATTTCATTGCTGTACTTCTGAGTTCCTGTTCTTTAGGTCTAGATAGAATCCAATGGAAATGCCAGGAAGTTCATAGATATTTTCAGTGCTATGTATTCATCTCTTCCCTTTGCCTTTGCCTGCCTCTGATTCATCATGTTCTTTGTTGGCCTTCACTCAAGAGCCCAGTTGTGTGGTGTTGGGCTGACGCTTTTTATATTGCTGTGTGAGTCATTTGAAATACAGTGGTGCCTCGCTTAACGATTGCCCCGCATTACGACGAATCCGCTTTAGGACAATCTTTTTGCGATCGCAATAGTCTAAATGGGGGAATTTACCCCATTGGAAGGCATTGAACGGGTTTCAATGGGGTTTTTATTTTCGCTTTACGATGTTTTCGCTTAACAGCGATTTTCCTGGAACGGATCATCGTCATTAAGCGAGGCACCACTGTATGGTGTTAGAGGAGAGCTTAGTGGTTACCCTGGACTGCCTGAAAGACAAACAAGGTGGGGGGGGGGACCTAGAGGAAATCAAGTCTGAACTATCTCTGGAGGCAAAAAAAAAAGGCTGAAGCTGAAGCTGTCCTACTTTGGGCACATCCTGAGAAGGCAGGATTCTCTGGAAAAGATAATAATGCTTGGAAAAGTGAGAGGCAGTGGGAAAAGAGGACGATCAGATAGTAGATGGACTGACTCTCTAAGGGAACCTCAGGGTTGAGTCTGCAGGAGCTGAGTTGGGCTGTTGAGTATTGGACATTTTGGGGTTTGTTCATTCATAGAGTCACTATAAGTTGGAAGCAACGTGATGGCACATAACAGCGACAACAAAGGAGTTTCAGAGGGGAGGTATCATCACAAGTAAATAATGAAAGCAGCCCAAAGAACGACACTTCGTTTCGCCATTAATCTCCTTGTGATTGCTCCAGAAAGCTGGTGGACAAACATAAAAGCAGAACAGAGGTGTTTTCCGAGCTCAGGTACGCATGCCTCTTTTGTGATACAAACCCGGAAGAACCTTAATCTTGGGAAATTCCCTAACTTTGAGTCCACAGAGGCCAAAAGAGAAAGAACTGGGCTCACGGATGGACCAGGACCTACTACAAATCTATCCAGCATGGTCTCAAGAGCTGGACAATGTTCTAGGACTAGGAGAAGGGCAGAGACTAGGAACAAGGGCAACTGAGGTCAACCTAGCCCTGTTGGAGCTTTATTTACTGTCTATATTTTGACTGAGCAGGAAAAAAAATGTCTAGAGGGAGGGAATTGTCTTCTATCCAGCACTAAGCAATTGTTTCCTTCCAGCTTTTGAAATTCAAAGAAAGCCTTGCCTCTCTGCTGCATGTTTTATCCCTCTCTTTCCTCAGTCAGACGCAGTTGTTTGTCGCTGTTGACCTGGTTGGTTGGTTGCTGGCATGTATGCAGTAAAAGAAAACAGGGCATACAAAAGTCTGCAAGAGCAAGCAATTGTACGTAAAGAAAGACATTTTTTATTCTTTCTCCTACAAATGTCTCAGAGTGAGTAATGAAGAACTTAAGTGCTGGTTAAAGAGAAAGAGGTGGACTCTGGGAAACTTGGCAGCCGTGGATCTCTGTACAGTGTTGCCTCGCTTAGCGATGTTAATCCGTGCAGAAAAAATCGCTGCTAAGCAAGTGAGCAGGAAAAAATGTCTAGGGGGAGGGAATTGTCTTCTATGCAGCACTAAGCAATTGTTTCCTTCCAACTTTTGAAATTCAAAGAAAGCCTTGCCTCTCTGCTGCATGTTTTATCCCTCTCTTTCCTCAGTCCAGTCGCAGTTGTTTATTGCTGTTGACCTGCTTGGTTGGTTGCTGGCATATATGCAGTAAAAGAAAACAGGGCATACAGAAGTCTGCAACAGCAAGCAATTGTACATAAAGAAAGACATTTTTTATTCTTTCTCCTACAAATGTCTCAGAGTGAGTAATGAAGAACTTAAGTGCTGGTTAATGAGAAAGAGGTGGACTCTGGGAAACCTGGCAGCCGTGGATCTCTGTACTTCTACTATGCAGCAAAAAGAAAGAATTTTTTCCTGAAATTCAAAACTTTGTAAAAGCCTCTACCCACCTAAGGCAGCGACACGTCCTCTTTTACAGAGGACATCACCCATTTAAAAAGTTGCTAGAGAATCATTCTCCCTTTGATGATGTCTTCCATATAAAGGCCTGTCCAATACAAATCTGACTTTTAAAAAAACCCTGCAAGAGATGAAGAACTTTGATGTCACCCCTTTGGAGTGAACATCTGGGCAGCAAAGTTGGAAGCAGGAATAGAGATCACCTGAACACGTTCTTCCCCACTTGAGATGCTTTCTAATTCTGGTCTTTTCTTATTTTGCACCTCTGCTTATGTGTCAGGTTACCCAGTGTGGTATAGTCGTGGATAGATGGACTAGGAATCAGGGGGCCTGGGTTCGAATCCCTGCTCAGCCACAGAAGCTCACTACGGCTTGAAAGCCGTAGTAAGATCGTTTCCAGTTGGTACCTGCTCAATAGCACATAATGAACTTATATATCATTGAACCCAGTTTTATGCAAGACAGTGTCTTGTTTTAGCTTCGCTTTACGAGATCCACGGATTGCATTTGAGTGACAGGGCAGTGGCCACCATGCATACCCATCTAGACTAGTAAAAGTCTCTCACTACGGCTTGAAAGCCGTAGTAAGATCGTTTCCAGTTGGTACCTGCTCAATAGCACATAATGAACTTATATATCATTGAACCCAGTTTTATGCAAGACAGTGTCTTGTTTTAGCTTCGCTTTACGAGATCCACGGATTGCATTTGAGTGACAGGGCAGTGGCCACCATGCATACCCATCTAGACTAGTAAAAGTCTCAGATTATAGGAAGATGCTCACTAGGGGAGTGGAAGCAGAAAAAAAAAACACTCAAATATTTTATTTATCTTGAAAGCCATAATAAGGTCACTTCCAGTTGGTACCAACTCGACAACACATAATGTAACAAACTTATATATCATTGAACCCAGTTTTTTGCAAACCAGTGTCTTGTTTTAGTTTCGCTTTACGAGATGCACAAATTGCATTTGAGTGACGGGACAGTGGGCACCACGCATACCCATCTAGACTAGTAAAAGTCTCAGATTATAGGGGAGCAACCTGATAAACGGGTAAAATGGCAGATCCTGGTTGGAGAACATTTGGCTGAATAGTTTTATGTTTTTCTAGGGAGAAATAAAAACAATCTGAGCAATTGGTTGTTGTGGGTTTTTCGGGCTCGAAATGGCAGATCCTGGTTGGAGAATATTTGGCTGAATCACTTTATTTTTCTAGGGAGAAATAAAAACATTCTGAGCAATTATATAAACACCACATAAGGCACGCAGTTCTAGGAATAATTTACGGTGTCTTCCCCTCCCATTGATTATCTGAGCAATTATACAAACATCACATAAGGCACCCAGTTCTAGGAATAATTTACGGTGTCTTCCCCTCCCATTGATTATCTGCCCAATCTTCTGTCTTGAAAGAATAGGATGGGATTCCTCAGAAGCGGCTGTCCCGATGATCTTGGTCATGTCTACTGAGCAGTAAAAGAGTAAAGGCTTCCTCACTGGCAACACACTCCCCCACACCCCCAATGATAGGGTCGGCCCTGGAGCCCCACCAAAGATTCCACCCAAGCCTCAGAAAACACAGCATGAAATTTCTGTTTCTTCCTGGCGTTCTCTAATATACGCAGAGATCTTGGAGGGGGGAAAGGCATGGTTCTTATCTCATTTCTGTGGTTTGGATAAGGAGAGACGCAGGAGAAACCTCTCCCTGCTGGTTCTTATCTTCTAGTTACTCAGGGCTCACAAGTGCAGGCTGCTAAATCCAGCTGATCATGCTGGGTGCTCCTGCACAGTCTAAAACCGCACTTCCGGAGCGTAGCCTCCAACGTTTCTTTGTATTAAGATTCCGGCCTTCTGCTTTTATTTGATCCATGTGACAAACCCGTTGGCTATTGTTGCGTTTCAGATTCCAGACACCAGATCACAGACCCCGAGGGAGGTCCGTACATCTTCTACAAGAGGTAGGGCCTTCTTTGCGGTGGCTCCAACTTTATGGAGCCAGCTGCCGGAGAAGGTCCGTCTAGCCCCCTCCCTCTTGACATTCAGGAAGCAATTAAAGACGTTGCTTTTCATGAAGGTTTTCCACACTCACCCTAGCTGACCGCTTTTCCCTTCCTCTTTTCTCCACCTGTTCTTGTTATACGTTATTAATTTGTGCCATCTGTTTTAGGATTACTGTTGTTGCTTTTAATGTTTGTATACAGTGGTGCCTCGCTAGACAGTTACCCTGCATGACAGTTTTTTCGCTAGACATTGACTTTTTGCGATCGTTATAGCGATTTGCAAAACATTGATTCGTATGGGGGAATTTTGCTGGACAATGTTTGGTCCCTGCTTCACAAACCGATTTTCGCTAGACAACAATTTTGACAGCTCCCTCCGCGCTCGCAAAACGGGTGTTTTCAAGACCTAAGCTTCGCAAGACAGCGATTTAAACAGCTGATCGGCGGTTCACAAAGCGACTTTCCTATGGCCCATCTTCACTAGACCACAACAATTCTTCCCCATTGGAACGCATTAAACAGGTTTCAATGCATTCCAATGGGGAAATGCTTTTCACTAGACAATGATTTCGCTAAACAGCGATTTCAGTGGAACGGATTATCATCATCTAGCGAGGCACCAATGTATTTATTTTTGTTCTCTATTATACATAACCGCCTAGACTAGTGCCTCTGCACTAATGGGAGTGGGATACAAGATGAATGAATGAATGAATGAATATTCCTGGACAAGATGGAAAGCTAACTACCAGGACTGGTTAAGAAACATGCCTTATGCTATCCGGCTATTTTCAGTTCAAAATACAGTCCCATCAGGAGTGTTGACCTATGACTTATGTCCCAGACACAGTCGCTCCATGGATTGGGAAGCGGGGGTGCCATCTTGTTTCTTGCTTCAAGCCGCAAAATGTCTCGGGTCAGCCCTGCCTGCCACCCCAGGGCCCCGGCTTGGTACTGATGGGCAGCAGAGAAAAATCACATATAAATTTAAGTCAGGTTTTCATCCCAGTTTATTCATGTAATTCACTGAATGTTGAAGAATCAAGGCCCGAACATGCCAGAGAATGAGAGGCGGCCCTTGAGGAAGACTGCCAGCGCCATTAATGTAAATCGCTAGGCATGCCTAGCGTTTAAGGGACCTTCGTCCCTCAGCTGACTTCCCCCTCAGCCACTGCTGACTTTTCGTGGCAGACTGCACTCCACCTGGTCGAGGTTAAAGATGACGCCCGCTGAGTAAAGGCCCGTCTGGAGGGGCAGAGAGCAGGCACTCTCCGTGCTGCAGCCTTGTGCTGTGAATTTAGAAGGAGGGCCACCTGCGTGGGCAGAGAACGAAGCCAGTTAGGGCATGCTGCGAGGTCACATGGTGTACCCCAGGTATCCTAAGGGTGGGGAACTCTACCAATGCGAGGACAGAAATCCATTTCAGAGAAGTTTTGAATGGCTGTCCTGTGTTTTCCAGACCCATGCTTCGCAGGGCAGCCATTTTTACAGCTGATTGGCGCTTCCAAAATGGCTTCCCTATGGGCGATCTTCGCTGGACGATGAGGTATTTCCCCCACTGGAACACATTAAACCGGGTTTCAATGCATTCCAATGGGGAAAGGGTTTTCACATGACGACGATTTTGCTAAACAACAATTTTAACGGGACGGATTACAGTCGTCCTGCGGGGCACCACTGTACTGACATTTTGGGTTTGGGTGTTTTTTTGGGTTTGTTTGTTTTTCTGGAAAATGGAACTTACCAGCATTCAGCATCCCAGACACGGTGATGCAGTGACTAGCCAATCCCGCACACCTCAGAAACTCAGTTCCCTCACAGCGACCAGAACCAAACATAAAACACACAGGACACTCAAGTCCACTGGGAGTGATATTTCTCGGTGCCACTGTGGAGACAAAACCAAGCTGAGGCTGTAGTGGAATCATTCGCAAAACGTGTGCCACGATATATAAATTAAAAGGTATTCCACCTCCTCCACCATGCATCATGCTTAAAACATGCACGGACGTGCTCGCGCACATACACACAATTTTCCAAACACATAACTGGATTTTTAGCCATGGACATTTTTCTTTTTCAGTCTGTACAGTAGGACACCTCCCATCCGCGTGATCCATATCCATGGACTCATTTATCCACTGCCTGAAAATACTAAATATAAAACCTCAGAAATATGTATTTATATATATTTCCAGGGCGTATTTACCAAAACTGGTCACTAGAGAAAGCCAGAGGCCATGCAATATATAGGGTTCTATACTTCCACATTTCTCGGCATCCACTGGGGGGGAGGCTTGGGACCGATACCTCGTGGATCCTGCTGTACAAGCTTTGGAAGATCCCAGGAGTGGAAAACTGGACCGTGGAAATGCCAGCCTTGCCTACTTTCCGGTCTCTAGTCTGAAATTTCTCAATGGGAACGTGGATCCTGCTGTACAAGCTTTGGAGGATCCCAGGAGTGGAAAACTGGACCGTGCAAATGCCAGCCTTGCCTACTTTTAGGTCTCTAGTCTGAAATTTCTCAATGGGAAATTTGTGAGCCCCCCCTCCATTTACATCACAAAGTGCAGCTAACAAGGAATGAATTGCAAGGGAGAGAAATAAACTCTTCCAGTGTCCAGAGGCTGCTCCCCCTTGGAGGTTATTTTGAAAGAATGAACGGCATGGGCACAAAATTCATGGCTAGCGTTATATCAAAACAGCAACAGGAGTGCAAAAAACATGGGCAAAAGGAGGTGCCCCAAAACACACTTCCTGGAGCCTTTGCTCTTCTATGCTACCCCTCCTCCCCCAAAAAAATCTTTAGCAGGCTTTCTGATCATTGCTATTAGTCATGCCACTAGAACCGGATTGACTACAACTCCCATCAGCCACAGCCAAGGCTCATGGGAATGGGAGAGCCACCATCCACCCCCCCACCCCACCCCCACGAAGAGGTGGAGGATTTGGGAGGAAATGGATGCGTACAATTCAGATCCCAGCGGTTGCAGTGGTCGTATTGACAGCAGCTGGAAATGCTCTCCAGATGCAACCCGGCGTTGGTGGTGATGCTGATGGAACCTGCATAGCAGTCCGCAGCCCCAATACAAGTCTTCAGGGTCTCGGTGGTATCGCTGCCACCTGAAGAGGGAGGAAAAAAACGCTGTCAAATCAGGAAAATATGAAATTTGGTGGTAGGCAACAAATTCTGCTGAGTCAAAATGTTAAACCATTCCAAAACGGTCCAGAAGGGGGCTGCCTCTCCATGTGGATGGGGCAACATCTTGCCAGTGTAGAGTCATGGTCAGACTGCTGGGCTAGGACTCTGGAGACCCGGGTTTGAATCCCCACGTGGCCATTAAAACCCATTAGGCGATCCTGGGTCAGTCGTGGACACTCACCCAGCAGGGTGGGTGGGAGGATAAAGGGGGATGGGGAGATCAACCATGTGCACTATTTGAAGCCATAGGACGAAAGATGGGATAACCATATACAGTGGTGCCTCGCATTACGATGTTAATTCGTTCCAGCGAAATCGCTGTAGAATGAAAACATCATAAAGCGAAATTAAAAAGCCCATAGAAATGCATTAAAACCCGAATAATATGTTCCTATGGGCTTGAAACTCACCGTCCAGCCAAGGTCCTCCATAGCACGGCTGTTTTCGCTGCCCGTGCAGCGAGGAATCCATCCCAGAAAAGAGCGGGGGGGCTTTTTTTCCCAGCAGCCATTCTGAAACCACCGATCAGCTGGCCGAAAATTGTCATTTTGCGAGAATCAGTTCCCGAAGCAGGGAACCGATCATCGCAAAGCGAAATTCCCCCATAGGAAACATCATTTTGTGGGTGCTTTTGCGATCGCAAAAACTTCGTCGTAATGCGGTTTCGTCATTAAACAGGGTGCTCGGCTTGTGAGGCACCACTGTAACTCAGGAACCAACACACTGTTCTTGACTCTCAACTCAGAGGTCAGAGCAGAGGCCGTGGAAGAAAGAGGGAGCAAATTAATCTCTGCTCGACAAATCCTGGTGCTGTCTGGACACTGAAGCGGAGGAAAGATGTTTGAGCATATCACAAAATTATAGTATTCGTCCTCCATTTTTTTAAAAGATTCTGCAGAACCACCTGGGAGCTATCCCAATCAGAACCCATCCCTCCCCTAGCTGGACCAAGACAGGAATGGCGAGATCATCGTCAAGTTACTCACTTAAAGAGTTCATTCCAACGATGGTAAGGCAGGCGTCTTCACGGGGTCCACAAGAATGAGCGACACCATCGCAGCGTTGGCCCGGGCTGATACAAGTGTCGCATATCAAGCAAGAACCTGCAGGAAGGGTGGGAAGGAAGACCAGCAAAAAGGGTGCAAATTACATATTAAGAGGGTGTGCTTTTGTCCTTCTCAAGTCATCTGACTTACAACCACCCCTTGAATGACCAATCACCAAAATATCCTAACCTTAACTGCCTCGCTCAGCTCTTAAAAAGTCCAGCTTGTTTGGGAGTCAGCCCATCGTCTATTGGGCCTTCCTCTTTTCCACCTTTTCCCCGCATGATGGTCTTTGCCAGAGAATCCTGCCTTCTCAGAATGTGTCCAAAATAAGACACAATCAGCTTCATTAATTTAGCCCAGCTAAAACATACACCCAACCTTAGCCCTCCTGTCTTGTTTGAACAGAGAAAACTAGAACTGGCCATCAAAGGTCATCACGGACTCACCTCTGGCCAGAAACCCAGCCAGGAGGAGGCCCAGATTGATCAGAGGCACCATGGCGGAGGAAGGCAGGTTCTCCTCCGCAGACCTCCAGCTTCCGAGATGACAAGCGAGCCAGGTGGAACTATATAACCCAGGTCGGTTACGTAAAGGGGAGTGGGCAAATACGACTCGGATGCTCAGCCTATGGTTTTACAGGAGAGAGACTTCAAACTCTTGGAAAGGTTCGCAGCTTGCTGGATAGCTGGTCTTCTTTGTTTATTGACTGTCTCAAGCGCTCCCTTTGTGAGGGAGCCGGTTTTGTTCTGTAACCAAAGGGGCATAGCCACCTCCACCGTCCCAAAGCCATCTAACTTTTGGCAACAGAGCAGAACGCTTAAAGAGTTTCAACACTTACTGAATACAAAGAGTGTACAGGAAAAGAGGAATGCATTCTTATCGAAAAAATCAGATTGGATTTCTTTTTTTTTTTCCACTCCAAAAAGAAAGAACCTTCTGGTGTCCACTGCCATTTTCGGTGGGATCAAGTCCCAGAGAGCTGGGCCAAGAATTTGTGGCAGAACGGAGCAGCCAAAATGTCCTCCCAGAGTTCTACTCTCGGGCACAGAAATAGGAGGTGCCATTTGAGTGGTCTTGTGGCACCAGCTCAAGTTTCAGGAAACTGCTGCACACCTTAGTTCTCTAAGAGGAAAGGTATAGCTCGAGGCGAGAGGTGCTGAATCAAAGTTTGATTTTCACCTGTTGTGTGACTTTAGAGCTTAGATTTAAAACTCAGGTCCACACACTCCACAGCTAGGCTTACCTGCACAGCATGGTGGTATTTCTGCATATCAATCTGCATTTACAGCACAGCATGGTAGTATTTCTGCATATCAATCTGCATTTACAAATATGGTATGGACATAACACTTGTTTAAGAGAGAGTACAGAAAATCTACATTGTTCGAATTGTGCAAAACATATACAAATTTTTGAAAGGATTAAATACATATATGTTGTTACATCCATCCCAGAGTGCAGGGCATGTAATACTGGGCTCAAGCTACAGGCAGCCAGATTTCATATGAATATTAAAAAAAAACTCCTTAACTGTTAGAGCGGTACGACAAGGGAACCAATGACCTCGGGAGGTGGTGAGCAGCGCTCCAATGCTGGAGGCATTCAAGAGAAAATTGGACAAGCCTCTGTCAGATCTGCCTTGATTTGGATTCCTGCCTTGAGCAGAGGGTTGGGCTCAATGGCCTTATAGCCCCCCCTCCAACTCAGTTATTCTATTACATATACAGTGGTGCCCCGCTTAACGATTACCTCGTTAAATGACGAATCAGCTTTACGATGGGTTTTTTGCAATCGCTATTGCGATCACAAAACGATGTTCCTATGGGGAAAATTCACTTCATGACAATCAGTTCCCTGCTTTGGGAACCGATTCTTCGCATTACGATGATTTCCAAACAGATGATCGGCAGGTCGCAAAATGGCCGCCCGCTGTGCAAAATGGCTCCCCGCTGTTTTTAGGACAGATTCCTCGCTATACAGGCACCGGAAAATGGCTGCCCTATGGAGGATCTTTGCTGCACAATGAGATATTTCACCCACTGGAACGTACTGAATGGTTTTCAATGCATTTCAATGGGTTTTTAAAATTTCGCTTGACGATGATTTCGCTTAACAGCGATTTGAATGGAACAGATTATTGTCATCAAGCGAGGCACCACTGTATATACATATACGGTATTGTTGTTATGGGCCACCAAGTTAGAACTGACTTATAGTGACTCTCATCAAGCAAGGCACAACTGTATATACATATACTGTATTGTTGTTATGAGCCACCAAGTTAGAACTGACTTATAGTGACCCTAATAGAGTTTTCAGGACAAGTATTTAAGGAGTGGCTTTATGGGTTCTGCACCCCCAGTCTGTTTCCACTGCAGAGCCAGGGAACTGAACTCAGCTCTTCTCAGTCCTAGTTCATTATCATCAGTTATTCACTCTGTTTACTCTCAGTCCCTCCTTTGGTTTTCGGTGAGCTTACAGAAATTCCATGGGGATCTGATCATCATCATCATCTTAGAACTGAAAAGCTGGAAGGGACCCTATGGATTATCCTATTCAGAACTGAAGAATTAAGGAGGAAACAATGTGGGATGGGGGGCTATGATTCACAGCGCTCATGGTTTTTCCCCCTGTTCACTGGGGCCAACTAGACCCAATGGCTTTTTTTTGGAAAGGAGAGGACCCCAGGTTCCAAGAGATGGCTTCATGATATAAAACCTTGTGTTAACAGACCTCGAAATTATTCAGGGACAGAAGACCTACGTGATCAAAAAGAGAACACAGGCCCAATTGTTAGGCAGGAAAAATTTTTAAGCAACATTCTAATGGCTTGCCTGCAATTTGAGTCATCAGATTGACTCATGAACAAGGGAAAGATGCCAATAAGCCATTAGTCCTGGCCATCATCATCAAGGGATCAGCAGGCTCTTACGTTACCATGATCTCTTGAGACTGAAGGATAATACTAGCTTTGAGTCCAAACAAATATTCATTCAGTATTATGATCTGCCTGATGCAAAGAATCGTGAAAAAGATGACGCGAATTTTATAAAGGGTAGAATGGGATAAAATCAGGATGTAAGGAAATTACTTTCTTTGGACTACAACTCCCAGAATCCCCCAGGCTGGCAGCATCCAACCCTTCTCAAATGGACTGGAGAACCCTGGAGAAGGAAAATGATGTGTCCCAGAGTCTTTTTCTCCTGACTAACAGTTCAGTTGATTTGACTCAACGGAAATGATATTTATTATGCTGCGATTCAATAGGCCTTGTGGCTGCATCACAGGCAAAATAAATGCGCAGATTTTCAAGAGGCCATTTCTTTTGGTTAAGCACATCATCTGGATCATTAGGAATTGTAATCCTGGCAACAATGCTGGTAGATCTCAATCTAGGGGACTTGCAGAGTAAATACGAAGTTACGTCTTCTGGTTTCCTGTTGTAGATTCTGGAATTGAGGAGATGGCGAGGAGAATTTCAAGAAGGGATGAACAAGACCTTCAACTTTAGCCTAGTTGGGAGTCGTTACCATTTGGACCCCCTACCCATCCACGCACACACCTAAGACCAGTCTCCTTATCAAGAGCCATAGCATAAAGCAAGGACAGCTCTGCTGGTCACATTTTCCACACTTTTGAGCAAAACATATCTGCACAAAACTAGCAAAGCTGAGCACTCAGATACACACGGAGAGCACAGAAAGTCAGACTGATTGGTAAAAAAGATGCAAGCAACCCACCCAAGGCCGCTACCATTTTAAAACTCTTGTTTTTTAAAAAACAAGCAGCTACAGTAGCTTTGGGCAATCTGCACAAAGCGTCTTGCAAAAGTACAAACTCTTGTCATCACCAAACAAAAACATTCATTGTCTCCTAAGAATGAATACTTTGTCTCAAAGGGGAAGAAACTAATGCGAGACAGTCAACCATAATTCACGAAAGCTTCCACTGAAATATCACTAACAGTCCTGCTCAGGTTCTGTAAATGAAAAGTCGTGGCTTCCTTGACCGAGTCACTCCATCTTATGTTGGGCCTGCCTCATTTCCTACTGCTGTACACTTTTCCTAGCAGTATTATTAAGTCTTGTGTGTGGTTTGAAGTCTTGTTTGATCCTTTTTAGTACAGTATTCGTATAGCTTTAGTATTATCTTTTAATGATGTAAGTTGCCTTTGGTTTCTTTTAAGGAGAGAGGCGGGGTAAAAAAATATCTCAAATAAATAAACATTGTATTTACCAAGGAATCTTCAAAATAAATACCTGCGTTACAATTGATGCTTTCTCGTTCATTACTAATTACAACACGTCACTGTTATCGAATAGCACATAGTATAAAACATTTATAAAACATTACTATATTATTTATTACTTAATAATAGTAAGGCTAGCAAGAGACCTCTGGGTAGAGTGGGCGGCATATAAATTAAATAAATAAATAAATAAATAAATAAATAAATAAATAAATAATAAATAAATAAATAAATAAATAAGAGTAATGAAAAATAAAATACCGATTTAATGCAATTATTTGTTTCGCAGTGGCATTTCTTCATTTTCCAAGAACTGCATTTCGCCATTCTTATCTTCCAAATAAAGTCTGCGATCCTCGAGTCGCTTCGACGTAATTTACCTTCAATAGATCTCTATTAGAGGTGAACAGTCCACGAGTCCGCATGCGCAGAAGTAGAGCGGCGAGAAGGAGGACCCTGACTCCCCCGCTTAAGACCGCAGGAGAGCGCGATTGGCGGACGCCGGTGCGGCTCTGCGCCTGCGCGACTCGGCCGCAAGCGCCTGCGCAGAACCTCCAGGAAGACGGGCCGGAGGGGGGGAAAAAAACCAGCGACACGCCGTAAATAGGAGAGCACAGAGCGTCCACAGGAAGGAGCGTTTTATTTCCGGGTGTAGGGGTGGAGTTTTGCTGCCGGGTGACGGCGGTGACAGAAAGTGGCGGGGAGATGCCCGAGATCGCGATCCGACATGTGGTGTCTGCGAGCAGCTCGGACGCGGTGGGAGCGAGTCGCGGGGAAGCAGGCCTGGAGGGGGGGGAGGCTCTTCCATTCCCCCCTTTTTGGGGGGGGAGGAGAGGAAGGTTCCATACAGAGCAGCAGAAGGGGGGGATATTGCCTGGAGGAGCCCATTATGGGGATGATGGCGGGGGTGTGTGTGAAAACCAGGATCCCCAAGGCTGTCGAACGCGTGGGCCCTTGGGCTGCTGTTGGACTACAACTCCTGTTACCCCCAGTCTGTGCAAGCCAGGGAAGATGGGAGTTTTAGTCCTGGGAAGAAGGGAATGGGCAACCACCTCTGTGTATTCTCTGCCTGGAAAACAATCGAAAGGGGCACCATAAGCCAGACTTGACTGGAAAGCACATGATGATGGTGGTGGTGGTGGTGGTGGTGAAGAATGTTGGCCATAGATTCCCTGCCTCGGTATAAAGTTGTGTTTGTGAGGTGGGCAGAGACCACGGCAGTGTTTTTGAAAGAGCCTTTGAAGGAGAAGGCTTGTAAGGATGTGTTGAGACCACCTATAGTGGCACAATGTTAGGATGATGCTTTGGAGGCATCAGCAGGTGGGTGATTCATTCTTCTGCCAAAGAACTTGCTAAACTCTGGACCGTTGCGAGGTGGGAGGGAGAGGTTTTGTGGCGGGGAGTTCCTCGGGAGAACAGCGGGGGTGGTGTTTGGAGGGATGCTTTCCTGCCCCTCCTTTCCCTCCTCACATCCCATCTCACTTGCTGTCTCTACCCCAGACCCACTGCGCTGAGAACTTGCTCAAGGCCGACACCTACCGCAAATGGAAGGCTGCCCAACCTGGGGAGAAGCAGATCTCTGTCATATTACAGGTAAGAGCCTCCCCCCCCCCCTGGTTTTTGGCTTGGAGGTGGATGGTATGTTTGAAAATAGACATATTTTCCTACTCCGTTACACGTTATAACTCAGAGGCAGTGCCCAGAGAAGGCAGAGCAGGGAAGCCGGGGTGTGCCTTCTGTGTGGGCACCTGCTGGAGAGCACCAAACTGCAGAATACCTGTCTGTCTGGCACTTTATGCCCATCACTAGTCATGCTTTATTAGAAAAATAGATACACTGCATTTGGAGGATACCGTTAGAGTCTTCATCAGGCTAGAAAAGGTGAGGAATGCTGGAAATTGCAGAGCAAGAACATCTGGGTTTGTGGGTGGGACTGTATTTCTTCCTTATAAGAATTTGGAGTACCATAAGAATTTGGAGTACACACTTTTTCCCCACAAAACGGGGGTGGAAAGTCTGTGCGTCTTATGGAGCGAAGAAAACAGATTATATTTTCCTGTTTTCTTCTCCTAAAAAAATTGGTGTGTCTTATGGAAAGGTGCGTCTTACATTATAAGAATTTGGAGTAACTGATCTTAAAAGAGGAGGATTATTGCTCAGACGTTGGGGAGCTGCTTGGTCAAAGAGGGTTAGACTGCCAAAACAGTCTTAACTTGCCATAAGGCAGTCATGGTAGGCAGTCATGCAGAGTTTGTGCAGAACTTGGCGGCGGGGGAAATTACTCATACAAGTCTCGGAATCCCCTGGCCAGCATGGGAGTTGATCTCCCCTAAAATTAACTTTTTCCAGCTCTGCTTGGTTCCAGTTAGACCAGGCACAAATTGGCTAGGCCTGAGATGCTGGGTCGTCCTTGGTGTTCCCTCTCTTCCTTGTCTTCAGCTGTTTGTTTGTTTTATTCCATGTATGTACCACCACTCTGGCTACTAAGACCACTCTGTTGTTCTCCCTGCAGTTTGAGAAGGAGGAGCAGATCCACAGCATTGATATTGGCAATGAAGGCTCTGCCTTTGTGGAAGTTCTGGCAGGCAGCTCTGCATCTGCCAGTGAGCAGAACTATGAGGTGAGAGAGACGACCGTGGATAGCTCTTTTTTAAAGAAGGAGAGTCTTCTGAAAAAGCAGGTGGCTTTAATGAAGCAGGGTGATCAAATGATGCCTCCTTGTTGCAACTGAACGAGGCTTGTTGTTTTTGGTCAAGGAGTTTTCTTTGGCACAGAGTACACCGTTCTGTTTTTTCTTAGACTGGGGTTTAGAAACAAACTGTAAGTGGAGTTCATGCCACAGAGTCTTAAACAGCCAGGTGGAAGCTGCCTAGAGTAGTTATAACGACCAGATAGGCGGGATATAAATAGAATAAATAAATAAATTAAAATAAATAAATTAAACCCAAGTGAAGGAAATCTGAACCTGTCCCCACATCTGTGGGCACCGTGTGTAGATGTGAATAGACTCACAGTTGAGTGGGTCTCTAGCTGTATAGCTGGGCCACCAGTTCAGTACAACAATGAATCAAACAATGGTAGACAAATAAAACAGGGAACCGAACAGTCTCGAGAGTCAGAGACATAGTTTGGCCACATGTAGTGTATTTAAGAATATAACAGTTTTTGAGATGCCATGGGTTTTTGCTCTTTTTAATTTTATTTTTAAATATGCATTGTGTTTAATCTTGAGAAAGAGGGGCAATAGGATAACACTTTTCAAAGGCAGTCATACAGAGGAGGGGCAGGATCTGTTCTCAATCATCCCAGAGTGCAGGACATGTAATAATGGGCTCAAGCTACAGGAAGCCAGATTTAAGCTGAATATCAGGAAAAATGTCTTAACTGTTAGAGTAGTACAACTATCGAACCAATTAGCAATTCAGCGCTCCAATGCTGGAGATGTTCAAGAGAAAATTGGATAGCCATTTGTCAGATCTGTTTTTATATGGATTCCTGCCTTTAGCAGGGGGTTGGACTTGACGGCTTTATAGACCCCTTTCAGCTCAATTATTCTATATATATATAAGTATTTTTATTTTGGGTTTGAGGTTTTGACTGATATGCTTGCACAGACTAGCCTCTTCTAAGTCCTTCACTCCTGAAGATGGAATTTTCACCAAGGGCCAGAAATATGACTTGGTGCTCTTTATATTTTTCCTTCCTTCTATTCCCAAACCAACCACTCACATCCCCTAAGATGGAGCATTTTGAAATAATGAGAAGCTGAATAACCATAGAATGTCCAGTACCCTGTTACTACATATGCAGGTGTAGGAGAAAATGCATAAGTCGCTGTGGCTAATCACAACTTACTAATGAGATGCCAAGTGCTGCTCAGACATGCAGCAGAACATGCGGGCCACCACGCATTATCTGTTCTAACCAGTGTTTTCCTTTACATGAGTGTGACACACCAGTAAGATTCTGACTGGTTTTTGAAATCTCAACCATCGTCCCGGTTCTTTCCTCTTCAGGTACTCTTGGTCACATCCTCCTTTATGTCTCCGTCAGAGAGCAAGAGCGGGACCAACCTGAACAGGGTTCGTATGTTTGGGCCAGATAAGTTGGTGAAGGCTGCAGCTGAGAGGAAGTGGGACCGAGTGAAAATTGTTTGTACCCAGCCTTATACCAAGGTTTGTATTTAGAAGAAGGTAACAGCGTTCCGTGTCTAAGTCGCACTGGCCATGTGACCACGGAAGATTGTCTTCAGACAAAACACTGGCTCTATGGCTTGGAAACGGGGATGAGCACCGCCCCCTAGAGTCGGACACGACTGGACAAAAATTGTCAAGGGGAACCTTTACCTTTACTAAGAGATAAAATGTTATGTTGGGCAGTGTCAGAATGGACACTGGGGGTTTGTGCTGGTTCGTGATTCATTGTTAGCTACAAACCAGCTGGATTCATAGCTTTTCTGATTGTGGCCATCTCTAGTTATAACTTCTAGAACAGGCTAGCTCAGAGGGTGAAAGAGTCTGGGAGTTATAGGGTAAAAAAAAAAGGAACTTTTTCAGGCTTTAATTTTTACTCTAAATCATCTACTGAAGTTACTTGCTTCTCTTACTAGTCATTGGCTTATGGCCTTTCCTTTGTGAGGTTCCACTCGCCACCAGAAAACAGTGAGATTCCTTCCAAAACGGCTTCGCCGGTGAGTCTTTCCGCTGGTTTGAGTTTGCCTTCTCTCTTTTTTTACTATAACTATTGTCGTTCAACTGATACGGCTCGCTCACTCTGTTTTTTTAACTCCGCCACCACGCCACCTGTTTCAGAAGGTCACTAAGCTGGGCCAGTTCAAAGTGAAGGATGATGACAGCAACTCCAGTTCCTTGAAACCCGGGGCTCTGTTCTTCAGCCGTGCTAGCAAACCCCTGGTGTCCCCTACTAAAGGTAGCTGTCGTGACCAGTCTTACATAACTGCTTGTTGACTTGCTGGGTGAGACCAAAGGTCCAGTATTCTGGACCATGACCAGTGATGAATATCTAAGATGCAAGCAGATTCTGTAGAACCATAGCCTTACCTGACACGTGATCATGACTGTAATTCTGTCCCTGGATCTGGGGGTTCCATTTAGCCATCAGGACTGTGAGTCAAAGTTTGGAAATGTGGCGGTTTTGGACTCCCAACTCCCATCCCACGCTGGCTGGGGTGCTCTGGGAGCCACAAAGAGTGTCATTTTCAAGCTCCGAGTGATAATCGCCTTTAGGATATGAGTTTGCACGTGGCAGACTAAAATGTTAGCTTTCCCTCTGGTTGTGAATTTTAGAATTTTAAATGCAAGTGTCTGCTCATCAATATCAGTGCTGCTTTTCTGAACAGGTACCTGCTAAATGGAGAAGAATTATTCCTAATCTTGTATTTGCAGCCATTCAGAACAACCAGCCCTCACCCAGTTATGCTGCAGCTTCTCTACAAACCAGCCTGGCCACCTGCCCTGATCCCTCGCCGTCGGCTGCAGAAAAGCCCACCGCCAAAGGGTCTCCCAAGGTAAAAACTTCTCTCCATATACATGGACTGGTTATGAAGTGTTTACCCGTCCCCATTAACCTCAAGGCTGGCTGGCAGTAATGCTTGCTCCTTTTCCTGGTGCTGTTCCTCACTGCTTAATATTTGTATGGCGATTTCAAGTAGCCTTGATGCTTTACTTTGTTGTAATGGTTTCAACAACTTCAGGCTGAGAACAGCTAGTGTATGGCAGAAGAAAGATTTGGACTGGGGGCTTTGGTGATTCACAGCTCAGTCTCTTCACCACTCTGCTACAGCAGCCAGACTGTGCCTTTTAACATGGGCAATGGAGACAAGCTTACTTCAACAAAAGTCTGTCAGGTCACTCTTAAAGGCACAGAGACAAGCCTAATTTTGAAGTACAGTAGAACTCACCAACCCATCTGCCTTAGTTCCAAGGCCTCCTGTGGATGCCAAATCCTCTATCTATCTATCTATCTATCTATCTATCTATCTATCTATCTATCTATCTATCTATCTATCACCCATCTGCAGAGGATCAGTTCCAAGGCCCCCTGTGGATGCCAAATCCTCTGTCTGTCTTGTCTGTCTGGTCCGTCCGTCCGTCCTGCCTGCCTGCCTGCCTGCCTACCTACCTACCTACCTACCTACCTACCTACCTACCTACCTACCTACCTATCGGATTTGCTTTGCCACTGTTGTGGTGCTGGGTTGTATGAGGTTGATCATGTCATTCCACAAGATATTCAAGATGAAGTGGTTTCTTGCTAAGAAGCAGGAACAGAACCAACCCATCCGACAATAGATCTGCATGAAAATTAGCAACATGATCAAGTACAACTCCTAAAGTAGACACTGAAGGAGGACCCATCTTGGAAATAGGTATTTCTGGGTCTTTTAATTTAATATTTTCAGTCCATGAATAAATGAAACCATGGATAATGATCCTTCAGATACGGGGGTCTTACTGTACGTAGCATCTTTACTGCCGTTGGTCGGTATCAGCTTCTCTCCATGCCAGGATTTCCTTTCTAGGGACACAGACTTGTCAGTTGTGCACCAAGTTACAGTTTTTCGAATGAGCCCAGGGCTAGAATAAAAAGGACCACTTGCAGTGGGATCTCGTACACACTTGCTCAGAAGTAAAACTCATTCATTTAGAGGGTGCTTGTACCCAGATGCATTTCTGCAGGGTGGCAGTCTTAGCTCTCGTCTTCTTGCAGGAGCCGACCCCAGTCAAGAGGAAGTTCGAATTCAGCAAGGAAAATGCTGGTGCCTCCTCCCTGTCAAAGAAGTTTGATACCAGTCCTCCTCGCCCTGTGAACCCACCCACCAAGAAACACAAAGGTTTGGTTGTGTTTTTTTTTTCCTTTAAAAAAAGTGAGCTCATCTAAAGTAGGGAGGGATTGAAGATTATAGTTGGAGTTGGTGTAAACTACTTGAATTGCTAAATAATCTCGGGGTACATCCGCAGGGGATAGAGGGGGCCGGAGACCATGATGCGTTCTGGTAAAAACATCATGAAAATACGTATTTCTGGGTGTGTTTTTTCCTTTTAATATTGTCAGACTGCGGATCAATGAAACTGCAGATATTGATCCTGTACATGGGTCGGTGGGGCCCGACTGTGTCTTGTTCTGGAAATTATACAGAGATCCTAAACATGGTTGTTGGTGAGGAGGGGAGGGATCTTCTGCTCTTTGGAGGAGGGCAGAGTTTGTTCCCCCCCCTCACTGCAAATTATTCCCCCCCCCCCCCGTTCCCAGCTTCTGCCACCGCCCCAGCACCTCCGAAGACCCCACCTTCCAAAAAGCCACCCCAGACCCATCCTTCGGAGGAGACGGCCAACGGGTCCTTCCAGCACCTCCTTCAGGGCATCGTGTTTGTCTTGAGCGGCTTCCAGAACCCCTTCCGTTCCGAGCTTCGAGACAAAGCCCTTGAGATGGGGGCCAAGTACCGGCCCGACTGGACGCCGGACAGCACTCACCTCATGTAGGTGCCCTGCAGACCGCAGATCTTCACTGCCTCTCTCTGCAAGTTGGCTTCATGAGCCTTGCACACTTGAATGGATGGCTTTGATTGCCTGTGGTCGCTATAAGCCCAGCTTTTGCTGCTGTCCCATTGGCAGCGGTGCTTCCTACTGAGTTTCCTCCTCTGCTCTTTGCTTCCAGCTGTGCCTTTGCCAACACCCCCAAATTCAGCCAGGTGAAAGGGCTTGGCGGTGTGATCGTGCGCAAGGAGTGGATCCTTGACTGTTACCGCACACGGCGAAACCTCCCTTGCAAGCGGTGAGTGTTTATGTGGTGGATTCTTAGAATCATAGGATAATGGAGTTGGAAGGGGCTTGTAAGGCCATCAAGTCCAGCCCCCCGCTCGGTCCAGGAATCCAAGTCAAAACATATCTGACAGAGGGTGGTCCCGTTTTCTCTTGAACGCCTCCTATGCTGGAGTGCTTGCCACCTCCTGAAGTCATTGGTTCCATTGTCGTACTGCTCTAACAGTTAAGACATTTTTCCTGATATTTAGCCTAGATCTGGCATCCTGCACCTTGAGCCCATTGTTTTGTGTCCTGCAGTCTGAGATGATCTAGAACAGATCCTGCGCCTATTCTGAATGACAGTCCTTCAAGTGCTATCATATCTCCCCTCAGTCTTTGTTTCTGTAGGCTAAACATTTTATTCACTTATTTTATTGGATTTCTACCCCGCCCATTTAGACCAAAGGTCTACTCTGAAAGAACACACCCAGTTCTTTCAGTCTTTCCCCCTAAGGCTTGGTTTCCGGTCCCCTGATCATCCTAGTTGCCCTCCTCTGAACATGCTCCAGTTTGTCGGCATCCTTCTTAAAGTTCAGGAAAAATCAGGAAAAGACTGCGTGGTCATGGGAACAGTACACATACAGGAACAGATACCATTAATCGACCATTAAGAGTATTAAACAGAAAACAAACAGTGAGCTTTTAATTATAAATCAGTTTCAAAGCTGTGTATCAGTTTTTTGTGGGTAGTTCCAACTTAAATGCTGTTATTTATGTCCCAGATTCATGTGGCTGAAGATGTTGAAGCCGGGTTCGCTTCTTAGATGGATATAGTGCAGTATGCAAGTTGTTTTCTAACAGTTTGGAAATTATGAACCATCGCTAAGAACGGAGAACAGTCAGGGAATCTGGGGTGGTGTTCAGAACTAGACGCACTACTCAAGATAAAGCTTAACCAGTGCTGAATGAAGGGGAACAAATACTTCATGAGATTTGGAGGGTGTCCTTCTGTAAATGCAGAAGCATTTTTTTGTAGCCACATCCCACTGTTGGCTCACAGCTCAGTTTTTGATCTGCAACAAGATCCTTCCATAGTACTCTTGAGCCAAATATCCCTCGTTTTGTTACATGGGGAAGGGAGGGGAAGTTCCAGCAGTACCTGGGGTCACCGCATTTGGGTCCCTTCCTCAGCTACCTGATGGTCGGCCAGGAATCCTCCAGCAGCGAGGAAGAGGAGGAGGAGGAGGAAGAGAGCGATGAAGAGGCCTCTGCCCAGCACCAGAAGCCTCTCCCTCGTCAACAGGTGACAGAAACCCTTTCTTCCTTGGTGGGAATGCCTCCTTGGAAGGGATATCCGGTTGGCACCCAAGTCAGGGAGGGTCGGCTCCCTCTGCCCCTTCGGTCGTTCAAGCCGCCGTCCGTCTTTTACAGAAAGCCCGTCTGGCTGGCTCCAACCACAAGCCCAGGGTTTCTGCCAGCCCTAAACTGGGGCAGAAGGCGCCCAGGAAGGCGTCCTCCGAAGAGGAAGAGCCCACCACCTCTCGGAACAGCAGCAGCTTCCAGAATAACACGCAGGCTTTGGCCGCCGACTCTGCAGCGTCCAGCGACGAGGATGACCCTGCAGGTAAGGCTGAGGGTCCCTTGGAGAGAGGGGGGGTGTCTTCGTAGACGAGTACGAATATCCCGGCACTTGTGGAAATAACGAGGGTCCTCTCGCGATTTCGTTGCTGGTGCCAGCTCTGCAGAGGTTTCCTATCGCGCTGTTCTTCACAATGAATTAGCCACTCCGACCTAGCAGAGAGGCTTGTCATCCCGCCTCCTGCCAGGACTGGGTCATCAATGGTGGACAACGGCGTGGTAGGAAGTCTCCGCGGAGCTGGCAGCAGCGGCAAAATCGTGAGTGGACCGCCCAGCCCCTTGGGGCTGTACCCTTATTTCCACCTATGCGAGGATATTCATATACGAATACCCCCCATCAATGGTGGACAACGGCGTGGTAGGAAGTCTCCGCGGAGCTGGCAGCAGCGGCAAAATCGTGAGTGGACCGCCCAGCCCCTTGGGGCTGTACCCTTATTTCCACCTATGCGAGGATATTCATATACGAATACCCCCATCTCTCATCCCGTGTTATTTCCATCCGTGCCACTGCTTTGTCTCTACGTGACCTGGGATCGGCCCGAAGGTCCAGCTAGTTGATTATCTGGTGACCAGCAGTGTTAAGGACATCTTCCCTGGGAAAGCGGTCCATCCGGGCATTAAAGGAACAGCCATCCGCTTTTACTGGTCCCTTGCACCTGCTCATGAGGAGCCGTATGCCTTTGTACGAGGAGGTCTTGTTTCAATTTCATTTTTGGCCACCACGGATGGAATGCTTCTTGGTGAATTTCTTCCACCTTTCACTATCCTTATATAGATGTTCAGACCTGCCCACTTTGGTTGGAAAACGAACTTCATGTGACTTTCCAGTCGTTAGACCTCTTTTCCTTGAGTTAGCTTCTCCGAGCCACAAAGCTACCCAGTGACTCCTTACTGAGCCTTGGTTTCTTCTCATCCTCTTGCATTTTGCTTCCGTACTTACCCTGCCAAGATTTTTGGTAGAAACATGGCAGCTGAGGCTGCCCCCCTCCACCACAATGTAGAACAGCAGGTGGATGCAACAGGCCCTGTGTTCTTGGGCTGTGACCGACAAACCCATCGGGGCTCGGTTAAATTGGTCATACCAGTTTAACAGAACAGCAGGCATATGTCCATCGCTCATTTCCCCTTTCTTCCTTGTTAATTCCTCAGGCGCCCGAGACAATGGAGATGAAGGCTCTGGAGACACGGATGATGAACTCAGGAGGTTGGTCAAGGCAAAGCCTTTGTGGTTTGACCCTTCTATAAGCCATAACTCACAGGGGTAGGAAAAAAAAACACTGGGATTTAGTGTCTAGATCATTTTTATTTAGAGTGGTGCCTCACTTAATGACGATAATCTGTTCCAGGAAAATCGCCGTTAAGTGAAAGCATCGTAAAGCAAAATAAAAAAACCCACTGAAACGCATTGAAACCCGTTCAGTGCGTTCCAATGGGGTAAAAACTCACCGTCCAGCGAAGATCCTCCATGAGGCAGCCGTTTTCACTGCCTGTATAGCGAGGAATCCATCCCTAAACACAGTGGGGAGCCATTTTAATTACCTGGCGCCCATTTTGAAACTGCCGATCAGCTGTTAGAAAAACGTCGTTTTGCAAAGAATCGGTTCCCAAAGCAGGGAACCCATCATCGCAAAGCGAAATTCCCCCATTTAGACCATTGTTTTGCAATCGCAAAAAAGATTGTTGTTAAGCGGGTTCGTCATCATGCGGGGCAATCATAAAGCGAGGCACCACTGTATTCATTTATTCAAAATATTTTTACCCTGTCTTTCTTCTTAAAAACGACCCAAGGCGGCTTGCACCTTTAAAAGACAATACTTAAAACAAATTGAACCGATGCCACATTAAAACTGGTAAACAAAAGCAGCCCTACCAATGCATTCAGAGTCGTAAGGTACAGGAGTCGATTAAAAAACCCCACGCATGTTGTCAGTCAGTGAGGGAAGGCTTGCCTGAAGCGAAAGATCTTTGTCTGCTTGCAGAGGGACAACAAAGATTGGGCTAGGCTGGCCTCCGGTGGGGGGGAGTTCCAAAGTCTGGGAGTAACAACACAGAAGTCCCTCTCCCGTGTCCCCACCAAAGGCGTAGGTGCTTGATGGAAGTTGAGCCAGGAAAGGTAGCAGGGAAGACAAAGACTACCCATCTGATCAGCAGAAGCCCTTTGCATATGTCAGGAGCAGGTAACCTGTGGCCCATTGTTCAACTATGACCCCCATCATCCCTCTTCATGGTCTGTGCTAGCATGATGAGACTGCAGTCCGACAACATCTGGAGGGCCACATGCTGCCCACCTCTTACACTCGAGGTGGTTTTCAAGACGCTAGAAGAAATTGCCAGGGCGTACTTTCATAGTGAGGACTAGGATCTTGATTCTGATCAAAATGTATGGATCACAAGTCTTCTGTCCCCTCTGAGTCCATTTCTCCCCCTGGCTTTAAGAGTGGAGGAGGAGCACCGAAAAAAACAGCAAGGAGGACGGAGGGCTGGCCCAGCACCGGAGGACGATCCATACGCTGGTTCCACCGATGAGAACACAGACGTTGAGGAACAGGGCGAGGTGGATCAGCCTGTCCCAGAGCTACCTGGTATGTCAGAACTCCTGGAAAATCTGGGATGGCAAACTTTAATCAACAAATCAAGTAACAATTGAAGGTGGATAATTTTTAACAGGGAGCTGAGAGTAAAAGGCTCAGCTCTTTACCTTCTGAGGCTGTTTTCACTTTTCTCAAAGAGAGAATGAAGAATAAAAAAATTAAATACGGCAGGACTGTCGTATCTGTGGGTAGTTGGTTCAAAGCACCCCCATGGATGCTGGAAAAAACAGATTACAGAGAATGCTATTCATTGTGTGGTCCCAGGCTCCCTATAGTGACCAGTTCTGGTAACTTTGTCTTTAGAAATACATATTTCTAGGATTTTTCCTTTCATATTTTTAATATTTTCAGACTGTAGAAGTGAATCAGTAGATACGGATCACGCAGATACGGGGGTTCCTTCTGTGTGGTCTGTTTTTTTTTTTTTTACATGAAATAAAAATCAGTCTTGCTCTTTGAGCATCTCAGGGACACTTTTACCAGGACTTATTTAATGCACTTCTATTATTTAGAGTAAATCCATGATAAATCATTGAGTGGTGGACAGCCCCCAGTTTCCTCCTGCTCTGCTCAAGGCTTGTGGGTTTGAAAGATTAAAATTGAGCGAGGTGCTACATCGGCATTGTCTCTTTCAGTTGTTTGTAAGAAATGGTGCCCATCGCATGCTGGAATTACAATCTCCTTTCTAAAAGTTAACGGAGATCCCAAGTTCAATTGATGGGCTGTCGTTCGTTGTCCCTTCTCAGCTGACATAACCACTTCCTCCTTGACAGATTTATTTGAGGGCAAACACTTCTTCCTTTATGGGGAATTCCCTCCTCAGGAACGTCGCCTCTTGAACCGCTACATCACAGCTTTTAATGGGTGAGTTTGCCTGAGTGGTTTTGGCATATAGGCCTTTGCAGTGTCTGCGGTGGGATGGGGAGTGATACTCTCTTGTGTTAGGAGGGGGGATAGCAGAAATGTGAAGGGCAGGAGAGGTATAGACTAGTGGTGTACACAAGTAAATCTGTGTATAGTAAAGAGGCAAGCAGAAATTCTGTGCTTCAGTTTTGTAATGTGAAGGCTGCTTAAAAATGCAGATACAGTGGTGCCAGTTCAATGCGTTCCAATGGGCTGAATATAGTGAAATGCTGGAGAGCGAAAACATCGTCAAGCGAAATTTAAAAAACCATTGAAACGCATTGAAAACCGGTTCAGTGCGTTCCAATGGGCTGAATACCTGCTTGTCCAGCGAAGATCCTCCATACGGCGGCCATTTTCGGTGCAAGGAAGCCATCCGAGAAAACAGCGGAGGGGGGGGGCATTTTGAAAGCCAGCGGCCATTTTGAAACCCGATGATCAGCTGTTTGCTGATCTTCGTAAAGCGAAAAATCGGTTCCCGAACTGATCAACGTGAAGTGAAAAAAACCAATCTAAACATCGTTTTGCGATCACTTTTGCGATCGCAAAAACTTCAACGTTAAGCGGATTCGTCGTTAAACGGGGAAATCGTCCAATGGGGCACAACTGTAAAAGAAACTGCTGAAAAATATAGGACACGGAAAGTAGATGCAAACACATCCAGATTTCTTTCTTTCTTTCTTTCTTTCTTTCTTTCTTTCTTTCTTTCTTTCTTACTTACTTACTTACTTACTTACTTACTTTTTGATGCCTCTGTGATGGCCAGGTGTCGGTGGGTGTGGAGAGAGTGAACAGTTTTAAAGAGCCTTCACAGTTACAAGATTGTAAAAAAAATGCCCTACTTCTTTTTCAGCGCCTTTGTAATCAGCATTATATCTATTGTCAAAATGCATTCCAGTGTGGATTACTTTTGTTTGTTCTCAGAGGGGATGGAAAACAGCAGGGGAAAAATGATTACTCTTTATTTTTTGCCTGCAGGGAGATTGAAGATTATATGAACGAGCGCGTGAATTACGTGATCACTGCTCAAGATTGGGATGACACTTTTGAGGAGGTAAGCTTGGTCCGCCTGCTCGTTAGGGGGCTATACATTGGTGTAGTCGGTCCTTTGCCTTGGGTCCCCAGATGTTCGTGGACTGCAGTTCCCAGAAGCCCTAGCCAGTACTGCTCATGGTGCAGACTTCTTGGGAGTTGTAGTCCAGGAAGATCTGGGAACCCAAGGTTGGGAACTATTGTTCTAGATGCTCATGATTCGTAATAAATGAAGTGGATTTTGTGGGATTCGGGCAGTGATGGCGAACCTTTTTGATCCTGAGTGCCCAAACCGGGGGGGGGGAACAAACGACCCAGCAGGTGGTAGCAACGGAAGTGGTGGCAGAAGGGGGAATCCCGAGCATGGATTTTGTGGGATTGGGGCAGTGATGTCGAACCTTTTTGATCCCGAGTGCCCAAACAGGAGAAGGGGGGGGGAGACAAACGACCCAGCGGGTGGCAGCAACAGAAGTGGTGGCGGAAGGGGGAATCCCGAGCATGGAGGTGCCTCAACACCCCACTCCAGGTCCGCCTCCAGTCATGCCCAACCCCACCACTGCCTAGAGCTCAGATCCTGACCCGCTGCCTGTCATGGCTGCAGCCTCCTCAGTTTTGGCTGCTGGGGGTAGCGATCCAGCGACGTACAGCTCGCGTGCCCACAGAGATGGCTCTACGTGCCAGCTGTGGCACGCGTACCCTAGGTTCACCATCAGCTGGATTGGGGGAACCACTGCCGCTCCAGATGTTTTGGAGTTGTACTCCTTATCACTGGTCATGCTGGATGGGGCTTGTAGGCAAAAACATGTAGAGGGACAAAGGCCCCAGACCTCTGCAGGAATAGGCCATTTGGTGAGGGAGTTTGTTTGATTTCTGTCCCACCTCTTCGCCACCTTTCTCAAAGGGCACATTATGCCTTCCCAGCCTTTTATCCTCTCATTGGTCATGTGGGCAAGGTTAGGCTGAAAGGAAAGTTCCATGGGTGAATGGAGAATTTGAACCTGGGTCTCCCTAGTCCTTTCCTGATGTAACAGGTTTCAACCTTGTGTCCAAAGTTAAATTTTAAAGGGGTGAAAAATTTTATAGGAGAACTGATACTAATACAGTAGGACCCCCGTATTTGCAGGATCGGTATCCGCTGATTCGCTTACCTGCATTCTGAAAACATTCAAAATATTACAAATTCCTAAAAATATATTTTTCTAACGATGAAGCAACCAGACATGGCCATTATAAGGAGTCAGAGACTATGCTATGCGCATAGTGCTCTCGATTACAATAGTGTTTGCTATCATCTGCATTTTTCAGTATCGGGGGGGGCTTGGCTCCCCCACGGATATGGGGCTCCTACTGTACATGACAGATCCATTTTGCTTTCCAGTAGTACAGCTGCACCTGCTAAGAGGGAGCCGTCAAACTACCGTCTTTTTTTTTTAAATCTCTGTCCCAGGCGCTGAATGAGAATGCCAACCTCTCCTTCGTGCGGCCCCGCTGGATATACACCTGCAAGGACCGGCAGAAACTGATCCCCCACCAGCCCTATGTGGTGGTGCCACGGGCGTAGGAAGGCCCCCGTACTGGCCTTTGTGTATCGTATATCCCCCTTCTGGAGCGAACTGAAGCCTTTTCACTTTCCAGCCTACTGACGTGATACTCTCTTTGTCTCTTCCTTCCTTCCTGCTGAAGGCCTGGTCTCGCAAGCCTACGCAGGCTGGCTCTCACCTTTTGCTCCTGCTCCTGCAGTAGCGGCCCTTTTTGGATTCTATCAGCAGCGAATTCCCTTTCAGAAATAGTGGCTCTGCTGGAGAAGTCGTGTAAATGAGCGCCGTTGGTGTAGCAGCTTGTCTGCATCAGCTGCATGCTCCTCTGGATTGGGGCCAGGGTCCGCCTCAAGGGCTTGGAAGGTGAAAGGTTACCTGGACTCCTCTTTTTTGGATCAGGACTGAAAGGTGTGTGTGTGTGTGTGTGCGCGCACACACACACACAGAGAGAGACAGAGCCTTCACACTGCTATGGTTCATTTTCCTGGGACCCACTATTTGCTTTTGATACTCTTTATTTCTTTTCTCTTCCTTCTCACTTCCCTTCCCCCTGAGAATCTAGCAGTCCAGATGTATCATTGCTGTTGTTTGTTTCGTTTGGTGAAAGATGATGGGCATCTCCCCGGGGACATTCATTCCTCAGTACAAAACACTACCCTAGAGTATTAGATTTTTTTTTCTCTTTCAGTTCGGCAGTGTTTTCAAAGAAAAACATCTTGCCTCTCATTTCCTGCCTTATTTTAATTTTGTGTTTCAAATGGGCTGTTATAGTTTCATATTTGGGGTTTGTTCTTTCTGTATTTACACACCAGTAGACTTGAACACATTGGTTGGAGATCCGCAGCCCTGCCCTCTGGTTCAAATCCAAGTCACTTTTTAGAATTCAGAAGTTTTCTAGACTCCCATGTGCTGTCGTCTTTTCCGCTTTCCCATTTCAGTCGGGAAAAAGTACAAACGGGAAGTGGGCCACAGTCATTATCCTTTATTGGCTTGCATTCACAGATGGCTTGTTCTGTGTCATGTCCATCTTTAAAATTGTGGCGATGTGCTCCCCTTCCGTGCATTTTCACTTATGGGTTGGTAGTTCAGTTAGCCCTTGATAAAGCATTCAAAGGCTTGTGCAGGGGGGGTGGGCTGATCTCAAGCTCTTTTTAATGCTCGCAATTCTCTCTCGCGGACTGAGATGTATGTGTGCGCACAAGGAGAGTGCTTTAAAAACAGTGTTTCGGGCTGCTGTTGTGAAAATGTGTGCATTTACACAGGACTCAATTTGGACGACAGCTCGCCCCGGACAATATTCAGCACCCTGAACTTTCTCTGTGAGGTGGGTTTGGTGCAGACACCCCCATTTTATATGCAGGAAATGGAGCAACTGGCTGTATTATAGGAATTTGTATCATAAGCAGACTATGGGATGTTCTCAACACCCAGAAGCCTTTTACAAAGGCGACGTGGGTTTTAAAAATATCTAGTCGCCTGTTGAAAGCAGGACAATATTTCCTGTACTAGTTAATTTCATGACTGGTCAATTTCAGCAAGGGATCATCAGTTTCGCTGCTGGATTTCTTTCCCCTTCTCTTTCTGAGCGAGGCCTCCACTGAATTCTCCTCAGAGAAGCCCTAAAACAGCCTCTTTCCCGCTCAGCCTCCTAACCATCTGCTTTTAGGGTACGGCCTGTCTTCTTGCACCTCATCTCTTACTTTTTGACTGGCTCTGAACTGGGCTGAGAGGCTTTGAACTATCTACCTCGTTTTTACGGCTATCTTCCCTCATCAAAACATGGGTGCTGCCCTCAGTCCTGGCGAAATCTAGCCAGCGCCTCTTCAGTTCTTTGCTCGTGTACTGAATGCAGCAAAGTTGATCTAGGGTGCATCCCCTCCCAAAAAAATTTGGGAAGGCGCTGGAAGCATTAACCATGGCCGCCCTAGTAGAGGCTGGTCAGTCTTGGCATGTCAACAAAACCTGCAGTGTTTTAAAGGTGTCTTGATGCCTGATACTCCCTTTACACCCTTAATTCTGGTGCTGAAGCAGGGGCCAAGTCTGTGGAATGGAAATATCTCTTGCTTATCTTGAAGTCCTTAAGCGGATGGCAAAGGACGAGAAAGGTTGGCAAGCGAATCTGCCTTGTCAGAATCTCAGTCTGCAAGTTTGGTGCAGACTCCCTACCATGTAGTCCAAGGCAAGAGTGGTTTGACAGTGAAATAAGCTATTTCAAGAGGGATAGGCTCCTGATTTCACCTGCAGCAGGATTCCTTAGGGGCTGATGAAGGGTTTTCATCATCTAGCTGTGTGCTCCAGAAGCAATTGGGGGTGTCCAAAAATAAACTGAACGGGGTAGTGGTCTTTGAGTAAGGTATTATGGCTTCACACAGGTGGGACTAGAGCTTTACGAGTGCCCTGAGCAATTCTTCGCACCCCTTCTTAAAAACCACCCTCTTTGGTGTTACTGCTTAAAGTGGGAGAAGCCACAGTATGGCAGTTAAATATGTTTTTACTGGTGCTTACATGATCCAACACTCAAGGGCTGGGTTGTTTTTTTTTGTGTAAATAAATCATACCAATGGCTCGATGCAGTTTGTGTGAGGCTTCCGGAAAAGTAACTGATCTCCTTCTGGAGATGGAATTCATGTTGTCCTTTCCCGAAATGATTTGTTTCTTTTTTTTGTTTTTTTTTTAAAAATAAACAAGACAAAATCAGACGTGAGGTGTTCTCCCTCTTCATCTTGAAATATATGTGATTGTGACAAATTTCCTAGGTTTTATGCGTAAGAAACGGGGTTGAAAATATTATGACTGAACAGGATTCACACTTTGGAAAAGACGTACATTTATGATTCTAAAAAGGTTGAAAATTCTTGTTCAATGCCACAGGAGATGGTATGGAATTGATTGTGAGGTAAATCACCACAGAAAATGGGCTTCTTTGTCCTTATCTTTCAACTTGACCATTTCGCCACCGTCCCTCTATCCTTTTCATACAGGCAAAACGATTCTCCATCTCCTTAAAACCCACCCAGACTGTGAGGCACTTTCCATTCAACAATGACACTAACAGGGTTTTCCGCATTTCTTTTCCAAGGCCAAGTGGCGATTTGAATCCTGGTCTGAGTCCCAGTCCATCTGCTATACCTCACTGGCTCACCCAACTGCTGTAATCTGTGTGAAGCCTCCTGTGGACCATGTACCGTATTTTTCGCTCCATAAGACGCACCTCTCCATAAGACGCACCAAATTTTTAGGCAAAGAAAACAGGAAAAAAGAATCTGGATATTTCACTCCATAAGATGCATATACATTTTCCCCAATGTTTTTTTGGGGGGAAAGTGCGTCTTATGGTGCAAAAAATACGGTAATTTTCATGTTGACACCCTCCCCCTTTTTATTTACCAGGAGGGATATCCTACAGAATACAACAGTACCCAAAAACAAGATCGGCCACAAATTCCTGCATGTAAATGTACCATACCCGAGAGCCAATGAATATTTAGAATATTCTGCTTGTGAAACTGGTATTTCAATCAACGTATTCTGTTTCCACATGTCTGACGAAGTGGACGTGTCCACAAAAGCTCACATTAAAATATAATCATTAGTCTTTGAGGTGCCACATACTCTACAGTGGTATCTCGGTTTATGAACGCCTCGGTTAACGTAATTTTCGGTTTACAATTCCCCCCCCCCCGCTATACGAAGCATGTTTGCATTGTGCCTGGGAGGTTTATAGCGCTACCTCTGTGCCTACGTTCCTCTGGGAAACTGCATTTTGATTTGCAAATTTTTTGCATTATGAAATGCCCTGGAGAACACATTAAATTCATAGACAGGTACCACTGTACATTTGGAATGATTAAATTACTTTGATTCCTATCCGTAAGGGTGAGGAGTAGAATCCACCTTACTACAGAGGTAGGCTACTTGTGATCCTCCAGATACTGCTGGACTAAGAAGCCCATCTTTTATCTCTGGTTAGGGCTGATTGAGCATCAATCCGGCAGCAACATTTGACAGATAGCCCCCTTACCTACCATTTTCTACCAGCAAGAGCTTGGGAGGCTTGCAAGCAGGGGAGGGGGTTAAAATGTGATATTTTCATGATGATGCACCAAAAAATGGCACATAAACATCCAGGTTCTTCTATGTTTTAATGAAGCTTTCATGGATCGTAAAATGTGTTATTTTCCTGATGATGCACCAAAAAAAGGCACATAAACATCCAAGTTCTATGTTTTAATGAAGCTTTCATGGATCAAGTGGAAGTGCATTTAATCCAGGAAAGTGCCATTACAATATAGCAGTCCTTAAATGCCATGAGGGTTAACTTTTACTTTCATTTTATTTGATAGCCTCGCACCGACTAAGGTAGCTACTCCTTTGAAAACAGAGGTTCTTCATGTGATAATTGAGCTGTCCTCTTGTGATTTTGTCTCTAAAAAAAAACACTTCTCACATGTCCCAAGGTTGTCTTGAAAACTGGGCTGGCTTTTACATATTTTATTACTTTTTCCAAGAAAATAAGACAAGAGCCTCGAAGCTCCCCCGTGGAGTTCTACTTTTCTTTTTGCATCAATTACAAATTGACCCACAGACTGACCAGCCCTGCCCCGTTGCCCCTTGATGTCGGAACCAGTACTTGCCCTGAAGTGTGGGCACGGGCCTTGGTGAAGCGGGGAAATGGATCTCTGCTAGGTTGCGAAGAGCAAAGAGAGGGAGCAAGAACAATGTTCAGGCCAGTTTTGAAAGACCAACCGAAGGGGGTGTGGGTTCAGTTTGCTCGTCAATTGTGATGGAAGTTGGGATGTGTTTAGAAAAACCAGGGAGGACAAACAGTGTCAGCAGGGAAATGTCAACCAAAGAGGACACAGGAATTCCCCAAGTAGAGCAAAACACACAAAAAGAAGGGTTTTGGGGTTGTTTTTTTGCCTTTGTAAGTATGTTTAGAAACAACTACACAGCAGGAAAGTAAGGGACCAGGCTATTAAGCTGTGTATACCAAGTGGTGAAAAACAGCCATCAGATTGTCCCACCTAGCAAGAAAAATCCATACACGTTAACAGCTCTACACACACACACCAACAACCACAGTTCAGTGCTTCGTGTTCACACATCCCCTTGAACGGGATGGAGGCCTCTTCCTGAAAATGAAAACACAGAGCTGCTCAAACCCATTTTTTTTTTGCATACAACTAGCTGTTCTGCAGCAGTAGCTCATTCAGGGTCCAAAGTTCATAGGCTAAAAGCATTTTTCTTTTACATCCAAAAGCCATAATGCCTGCCACAAACAATGATCTACCAGTATGGGTTAAACCTTTATGGAGTCATAGGCTGAACCCTTAAACCTGTGTTCATAATGTACCCGACGGCTCAGACGGTACAACTCAGAGCTGCCACCTCACAAAACCTTGCATCCGAAGGGTGTTGCATTCTCCCCCCCCCCCAATACAAGCTTCTGCTGGCTGAGCATCTTTGCGCAGAAAACATACTATGGTGGAGAGAACTGGCTTTGCAAGGAACGGAGCAAATAAAAGCATCCTTCACTCTCGGTGATGCTACAAAACATTCGTGCCTACGCGTTCTTCTGTGAAATTAACACAAACTTCTTCCTAAAACCGCTACATGAAGGCTAATTTTGGTTTTCATAGAATGGGCAGAAAGGTAAGGTGGTATACTTGCACTCTGTACATGCCGGGCATTTGGGCGCATGCCAGAAACGCAATGTCAACGAAAGGTTGGCGCAAATGCACTCCGGCCACAGAAAAGGTCCCTTCTCATCACAGAACTAGCATTCTGCGCATTTCAGATCATTTTTCACCACGGTATACATAGCCTGGCCCATGAGGAGAGAAGACGTGAACTTGGCACAGTGGAGTGGGGGGAGTGATAGGACCTTTAACCTTGCAGACTGAGAAGTGACAGGGCATTGAAGGGCAGGTCTGCGTAACTCCCAAAGCCGCCTCCCTCCCTCCCTGACTAACATACTTGACTATTTACAATGATCCACCGAGCATCCCAATGAATCGACTTCCTCCCTTTGCCCCCAATGTTATCGGGGTTCTTAAGCGCCTGCCCCTAGGGCCTCTCTCCATTGCTGTGACCCTTGGTTTGGGATAAGTCATCCCCCACTTCCCCATCTTCGTGGACCCGCTGGTGCAGCGTGAGGTTGCGGAGCTGGCGGAAGCTTTTGCTGCAGCGCATGCACGGGTAGGGCCGCCCGGCTGCCGCCGCCGCGTGGATCTGCTGGTGGGCCGCCAGCTTGGACGGGTAGCAAAAGCTCTTCCCGCAGCGGTTGCAAGGGTAGGGCCGTTGCCCCGTGTGCGTTCGGCGGTGGGCCGCCAGCTTGGACGGGTAGCAAAAGCTCTTCCCGCAGCGGTTGCAAGGGTAGGGCCGTTGCCCCGTGTGCGTTCGGCGGTGGGCCGCCAGCTTGGACGGGTAGCAAAAGCTCTTCCCGCAGCGGTTGCAAGGGTAGGGCCGTTGCCCCGTGTGCGTTCGGCGGTGGGCCGCCAGCTTGGACGGGTAGCAGAAGCTCTTCCCGCAGCGGTTGCAAGGGTAGGGCCGTTGCCCCGTGTGCGTTCGGCGGTGGGCCGCCAGCTTGGACGGGTAGCAGAAGCTCTTCCCGCAGCGGTTGCAAGGGTAGGGCCGTTGCCCCGTGTGCGTTCGGCGGTGGGCCGCCAGCTTGGACGGGTAGCAGAAGCTCTTCCCGCAGCGGTTGCAAGGGTAGGGCCGTTGCCCCGTGTGCGTTCGGCGGTGGGCCGCCAGCTTGGACGGGTAGCAGAAGCTCTTCCCGCAGCGGTTGCAAGGGTAGGGCCGTTGCCCCGTGTGCGTTCGGCGGTGGGCCGCCAGCTTGGACGGGTAGCAGAAACTCTTGGGGCAATCGGCGCATTTGTAAGGGCGCTC